CTCTGGTTTCTACGATTATGGCGAGACGACGCGTATCCCCGTTGGAAAGCAGCAACGTGTTCCGATGCTGCTGGTGGTCAAGTGTGGCACTCCCGACGAGGCTAAGAACTCGAAGCCTGGTAACCGTGGCAAGCGCGATAGTCAAATTATTCTCATGTCATTCCTGCAAAAGGTCATGTTTGACGAGCGCATGACGGAACTCGAGTTTGAAATGTTCAACGGTATCTGGAAAATCACTGGCATCTCTCCCGATTTCTACGAGATAGTACTCATGGTAGACGCCGACACCAAGGTATTCCCCGACAGTTTGACGCACATGATTTCGGCCATGGTAAAGGACCCGGATATCATGGGACTCTGCGGTGAGACCAAGATTGCCAACAAGCGGGACTCGTGGGTTTCTATGATTCAGGTCTTTGAGTAAGTGTTGATTTTTGATTTTTGTATGTTTGGAGAATAGCCTGCTGACCGTGATAGGTATTTCATCTCTCACCATCTGGCCAAGTCGTTCGAGTCAGTCTTTGGTGGTGTCACTTGTCTTCCCGGATGTTTCTGCATGTACCGCATCAAGGCTCCCAAGGGTGGCCAAAACTACTGGGTCCCCATTCTGGCCAATCCCGACGTTGTCGAACACTACTCTGAGAATGTGGTGGATACGCTGCACAAGAAGAATTTGCTGCTGTTGGGTGAGGACCGTTACCTGTCGACACTGATGCTCAAGACGTTCCCCAAGCGAAAGCAGGTGTTTGTGCCTCAAGCTGTGTGCAAAACCACGGTGCCAGACGAGTTCAAAGTTTTACTGTCGCAACGTAGACGATGGATCAATAGTACTGTCCACAACCTGATGGAGTTGGTACTGGTACGAGATTTGTGTGGTACCTTCTGCTTCAGCATGCAGTTTGTTGTCTTCATCGAGCTGATGGGAACCCTGGTCCTACCCGCCGCCATCGCCTTTACATTCTACCTCAGTAAGTTTTGGCATCTCTTTGTTCAATGACATGCTTTGCTGACTGTGTCCAGTTGCCATTTCTATCAAAGCCGCTGTGCAGCACACGGCAGCGCCTGTGATACCTCTGGTTCTTCTTGCGCTTATTCTCGGTCTACCTGCGGTTCTTATCATTATCACAGCACATAGGTGGTCATATGTTGCCTGGATGTTTGTCTACCTGCTGTCGCTGCCCGTTTGGAACTTTGTCCTGCCGACGTACGCCTTCTGGAAGTTTGACGACTTCAGTTGGGGCGATACTCGAAAGACGGCTGGGGAAACGACCAAGAAGGCAGGATTGGAGTACGAGGGTGAATTTGACAGTAGCAAGATCACAATGCGCAGGTGGCGAGATTTTGAAGCAGGTAAGATAGACGTGTTCGTTGAGGTCATGTTGTCACTAACGGTGGACCCCTACAGAGCGGAGACTGAAGACACCAGCGGCGACATCGGCTGGCGGATGGCCACAGCACCAACAGCGACAGGGATATGACCAGTACTATGATAATTGATTGATTGTGCAGTGTCATGTAGCAGGCCAGGGAGGCGCTGTGTAGCCGATAGGGGGAGGGGGGGGAGCAGGGGAAAAGTGCATTATTTTTGTACCACGTTGGCTACTGCATTGTGCAGGGGGTTGTTCTTGTTTACGCGGGTTACATGTATGATTGTCAAAGGGGCATGTTGTATTTTTTTCTCGGAGATTCCCACTTTGCATTGTGCCGTCATCTATGTAGACGCTGCGCATATTAGTAATATCGTACATGGCGGCGGAGAGGCTGCCTGGAATGAATGTAATGCCATATGAGATGAAGTCGGTCGTGTGTAGGGATGTGCAGTGTTGCGTTTCAGGCTTGTGCATGGTGAAGGCCGTTTGGATGGCGCCGTCAGACGCCTTGTGGCTGCTGTTCTGTCGTAGTCTGGCAACGCTCTTGTCCACTCACGCACGCGTCCGGGCAGGCTGGTTCGAGGGGTTTGCAGTGCAACCGTGTGGCAGCCAGTGGTGGCGTCAGCTTCCTGGCCCCAAGGGACTAGGCCGACGCAGGGTAGTGTGCTGCCTGCATCCCAAAAGAGGCCTGACAAGACCAAGTGCCTGTGTGCTTGTGCAGCGGCGAGTGGGCACTGCATTCTCGTTGTGGTTGTCGTGTTGGCAGTGCCATGCGAGTTGTGCTACGGTGCGTGGGGCACGTCGGCGACCTCTTTTGCCCATGGGGGGAGGGGCCATGTGTAGAGTGGAGGCCGAGAGAGGGACGATAATGGGACATGTATGACAGACAGCGGTGCATGGTGGCAGCCACAGCGACCCCACACGCTAGACCCGCTGTCTTTTGTCGTGGCTGGTTGACGCTGCCGAGCCCTCGGCCTGTATGCGAAGGCCGGGTCGTCTCTCTCCTTCTTCCCCACATCCTTGACACTGTCTCTACGGACCAGGATACCCACATTGCGCCCAACCGCCCGTTGAAGACGCCTGCACCAGCTGGGCCACACCCATCGCAGCCCACAGTCGCCTTCCATCACTGCCTCGGCGGCCCCGCGACACCGGCAATACGGCCGACAGCGGGCGTCGATGGCCAGCACGCAAGCCCACCACGACTGGACCGCGCCACACTTCACCACGACAGATGCCACAACGCCGCCCCAAATCCACCCGGCCCCTGGTGACTGTCCTCACTCGCCCGATGCCCTGGCCGCTGCAGTGACCCTGGCGACACTGTCCGACAACAGCCCGTCCACCAGTCATGCTGACCATGCCGACGACAATCACAACGACGCCGACGACGATGACGATGGCTATGGCGGAGGGATATCGCTAGCAGACTACCAGCAATTCATGGACGACATGCCCCCACCACACGGCGCCCTCGGGCCAGACGAAGAGCAGGGCCAGGACGATGCCGCGGCCGAGGTGCACATGCAAACATTCCTATCCCCGGTCCACCCCGCCTACGTCGCATACCACCCCTTTGAGATATTCGACATATCTAGCACTCCGCACAACACCTCGACCACCCACATTCCCGCGCCACCGGTCTACATGAGCCATGTGTCCAGTGGAGACCCTGCACTTGAGCCACCGCCCACGCTCAACGAACCACATCTGAGCATCCAGGACAAGGGCGCATTCTGCCCCATCACCTCCTATTTCCACCACTACTTCAACCCGGACAAGGCCATCGTTCCCGGACTCGACCTCATCCACGTTCCCAATACAGTCACCCGAGACGACCTCAAATGCGACCGCTATGACTACCAAGGAATCGACTGGGAGATGCGCAAGACCACGCGCTCGGCCGTACGAGAATCGCGATTTGAATTCGAGAGTGAGAAGCTGTCGCCTGGCTTGAAGCAAGTCCGCAAGGTACCAGAGCTCCTTTGTGCTTCATGGTTTTACCTAACACATTTTAGAGCATAGCTCCTACCCCAAACACAGATGTCTTCTTCAGCTTCGCCAGAATCAACACCACTCCCCGTGTCTTTGTTCCTCATTTCCAGCTACGGAACGTTCTGACAGCCACATCCCGCAACGACATCTACTATGCCTATGGCCACCGCGTCTACCGTACAGACGCCCAAGGGGCACCTGCCGATGTCGTCGTAGACCTTAGCAAGCGCATAGCTATCGATGGCTCGGTAACCACCATTGCTTCTCGAGACAACGTCCTGATTGCTGGCGCCTTTGAGGGTGAATATGCAATCACGGACCTTTCATCTACCTACGGATCACCATGCACATTTGGCCGCACTACAGATTTTGTAACAGACACCAAATCGCGCATAGTCAACCACATGCATCTCTTTGATTCACGACGGACCTACTCTCCGCAGGCTGTCCTGTGTTCCAATGACCATCATCTCCGCATTCTGGACTGCGCTACAAACACATTTACCAACACATTTGTCTACTCGGCAGCCGTCAATTGCTCGGCCACTTCGCCCAACGGACGGCTGCGAGTCGTGGTGGGGGATTTCCAAGAAACTCTCATCACCAATGCCGAGACAGGCGAAGCATTCGAAACACTAAACACACACGCAGACGACGCATTTGCATGTGCCTGGGCAGACGACGGCATCCACGTTGCAACGGCCGCCCAGGACTCGACCATTGTCGTCTGGGACGCACGCTACTGGCGCGAGCCCCTCGCCGTCATGAAAAGCGAACTCGCCGTCCCACGCTCTCTGCACTTTTCGCCCCTGGGCTCGGGCCCCCGCGTGCTCGTCGCCGCCGAAGCAGACGACTACATCAACATCATCAACGCGCAAACCTGGGAGTCGAAGCAGGTCTTTGACTTTTTCGGTCCCGTCGGCGGCGCAGCTTTCACCCCAGACGGCCAATCGCTCTTCGTTGCCAACGGCGAGAAGCGCTTCGGCGGCATCATCGAGCTCGAGCGCGCGGGCTGGCCTGATGGCTCCGTCCGGCGAAACAGCCTTGATCACGAAATCTGGGATGACATCGCGACCGATTGGGCGCACGACGATGTCTTGACTCTCGGCTGCGGCAAAGTTCGTGGCGGAGACGTGGCCCGCCGACGACGAAATGTCGATTTGAGTCATGTCGTTGTTTGACGCCGACTTTTGTAGATGATTAAATTTGGAACAATCTTGGTACATGAGGCATGGAGAATTTGTGCAAATCCTATAGGTTTTTCTTTTTTTCCTTTCTTTCTTTCTCTTTTCCCCCCCTAGTCGCCTACAGTGTTGTAGTGGTTTGGTATGTACCTACCAATTCTTTCCATGAGCCGAGAAATCTCCTTGGCCTCTCTTTTTTTTTCTCGGATTTTTTTTTTTTCAGATTCGAATCACGTGCAACAGCAAATGGCATTTGGGAGGGAAAACATAGCGGTGGATGATACCATGATGGGCATTTAGGGGCATTTTGAATCACAGTTAGACTTTTTTTTTCTTACTTTTCTGTGTCCTCTTTGAACAAATCGGCGGCTTTTTTTTTTAAAAAAAAAAAAAGGCTTCTTATTCCACTGTCCGTACACATGTTGTATCAAAAGTGTGGGGGACGTGCTGTGCTGTCTCCAATGTGGTACATCCCCTGTTTTTTCTTGTGCATTCCATGTTACGAATTAAATTTTGCGAGTTTTCTCTTTCTCTTTCTCTTCCCCATGTTCCCCTTTCAACATATCCTTGCATCATCGGCATCGTTCATCCCAGCCTTTGCCTAGCAAAATTTTCCTTTATAATCCTTTCCAAAAAAGACTCTCTGTGTGATCGCCTCAACGCCTTCGAATCATGTGATAGGACCAAAACCCTCAACGCCGTCAAATGCACAGTTCCGCCATTTGGAGTAGAGCCTTAGACGAGCAAAACGGCGTTCAAGCACCCGTCATTTTCAGGGTTGTTGGTGATTCTGTTGGTGCACATGTTAGTCGGTTGGTCCCTGGACAAACATCAATTCATGCGGCATCAACGTACTGAGCATAGCGACCCCAAACAACTTTTCCTCCAGCGGTCACAAGTCCAAGTTCGGAGACGTTTACTTCGATAATGGTACCCTTTGTCAACTGGTAATCGTTAGCATCAAGTGGCTGGCGAACAAGAGTCTGGCAAAACATACCACACCCAACTGAGTGTACAATGGCTGCTGTGGGTTCTTCTTGACCGAGCTGTGCAGGTGTTAGTATGTTGTCTTCCGTTTACGTGGTTTCGAAATGACATACATAATCGGTAGTTGAACTGTTACGTTGAGCTCAGGGTGCGTGACGTTCGCCTTCTTGTAACGCAATCCCATAGGCCTGATGAAGCGCTGGATTCAGTGTCAGTGTGCGCTTTGTGCGTTGAGCTATAGCTGTACAAACCTCGTATTTGACAGGTCGACGAGTGAAGCCAGGACCGACAAAAGTAGGCTTGGTAATCATTCTCTTCCAAGACTTCTTCTTCGTCTTCTTACCCGTCTTGACAACACTGAACATCTAGATAAGTACAAAATTAGTGCATATCCTAAAAAAACCTGATGCAAATGGTGCTCCTTACCTCCTCCTCAGAGATACCCTTGACCTTTGGAAGCGGCACAGAGAACCTGGCAGCCTTCTCATTTCCTAAAATACAGCGTCAGCACGTGCAGACAATCAATGCAAATGGTTTACGAACGCTTTTGCTTGATGGCAGAGGACAAAGCCTTGGCATTCTTTTCGTTGGAGCGGTCCAAAAGGTAGGAAGGCAGCGCCTCGGTAGCGGGCTCGGGAGCTTCGTTCGACTTGACATTTCGCTCCTCGTGGGCGCGAATCTTTTGCTTCATCTGAATCTTCTCCTTCCTACGCTTCTCGGCATATTGCTTCGCCCTCAATCCACGCAGGTTCTGGGCCTTCTTGGACGCATTGTGACCCTCACGAGCTTCCTTCTTTCGTTGGCGTTCATCGTGATCAAAGCGCTTTCCGTGCCTAGGATGGAGTCGTTAGCCAGATTCTTCATTTGCCAGGTGGTGCAGCCTCGGTATTTGCGATGCGCGGAGAGCCTGCGGGTTGGGTGGCGGCATGGGCAGTGGGCAGAAACGTACTGCTTCGTAAAGCGCTCAATGTACTCGTTCTGAGGCATGGCGACTACCTCTCTGTGCTGGGTGTGGTAGGGTAGTGGTGGAGTGGAGTAAGTCGCCCTACAACAGCGAGCGCAACTTGCCTCTCCAAAAAAATCGGCGCTAGCCCCCACTAGCGCGCAGCCATGCGGGAATCTTCAACATCGGACCTCCGCAACCACCAAGAATCTATCGAAACCCCCGGTAGTCTGCCAGCCATTGCGACTTGCACAAAACGCAATAATGGCACTGCTCGCTCGCACCGCCCGCAATGCTCTCTTCGAGTCGAGGTCGATAATACAGCCTTCGATTTTCCGCGCAGGAGTAACAACAATATCGCACAACCTCGACACATCAAATACACCAGAGCCGCTCATCCAATCCAGCCACCGCATATCAAAGGAAGCCAAGGAGCGCTCCAAAACACCTCAGCCTCTTCCAGCAAACGCCACTAAACCTCCTACCTCTGAAAACATCAAAGCATCGCCACATGCTCGATCAGACATTGTCTCAACGACACTCACACCCTCCATCCGAACACTCCTCCCGCTACTGCAAATGCAACCAGCACACTATATAACCGCACATCTTCACGGACGACCCTATCTCCTCACTCGCGGCGACACTCTTCGCCTCCCTTTCCAAATGCCGAATGTCCGCCCCGGCGATATCCTGCGTCTCAACCGCGCCACACACATTGGCTCACGAGACTACACATTAAAAGCACCAGAGGCCGTCAAGGGGACATCAGACCATGGGAAAAAAGTTTACTATTTGGATGAACGGTTATTCACTTGCAGAGCACGCGTTGTGGGCGTCGAGAGCGAACCGTTGCGGGTTGAGGAAAAGACCAAGAGGCGGCGGAGACATGTGAAGCATGTTAAGAGCAAATTGCACTTTACAGTGTTGAAGATTAGCGAGTTGGAAGTTAAGAGTCTGGAGGAGTACGAGACGGCGTTGGCGCAAGAGGGAAGAGAGCAGAGTGTACAATAGTGGTGTGAGGGTATGGTTATGCATTGAAAAATCCAATGTCGCAATGCCTCGACGACGAATCCTTGATTATACACATGTATCGATAGTCAATTCGACCGAATTTACAGCAACCAACTCAATGAAGAAATCCCTGGAATGCACACATCTAGGAGGCTTTCTGTACTTTTTGACTTGTCCTGGAATGGTGGGTATGCAAAACAACATGTGTGCGAGACTGGACTAGTGCCGTTCAAGACAAGAAGACACACAAGATTCGCACTTGATAAGTCTGAATGCTATGTTCTGTATCGTGACTAGTATTACAGTTGGGTATTGTGTGATCCCCATACGCTAATTATGCTTCAATAATCTCTGACCAAGTTCGCTGTTCCCTAGACCGTTACGTCTAATGCACCACCTGCGCCGCATAGAAATCTGGATGTTGGTTCTGGATCATCGATGTGACCTTTTCTACCTCCTCTGCCAATCCAGTCACGTTGGCGTCCCATTTGCGTAGCTCCTTGCCTACTACTCGCTCTGCATGGCCCGTCTTGCGCTCTCCACTTGCCTCTCCCTCGAAGAAGACGTAACGGTCGATTTGGTCAATGTACCCGGCAAGACGACCTTGCTCCAGCATCTTGGCTGCGTAGTCTTCGGCCTTTTCTGCATCGATGCCCAACAGCTCACCAAGCTGGTCGAACCCAATGTTGTTGTATAGTTTTGATGCGCCGACTAGGTTGTGTTCGAGAATAGCCTTGTCCAATACTGTCAAGCCGTCTGAACCTCGTGCAAGGTGGTGCGGATCCAGCTTAGCAGAGAAGGCTTTAATTTCAGCAGGCGTAAGCAGACGGTTCAAGAAAATCTTCTCAAGGATTGCGAAGTCGTCCGCAGAACTGGCTCTGTCATCTTTGTATAGCTTGGCCAACATCTTCCCTCGCTGGGGACCTGCTGGTGCAAGGACTGTACAGATGATGGCCCGTCCAAGGAAACCATCTCGCTCCTCACTATCCACCAGTGGCTCATTGCTTATGCCGTAGTAGGCTTGCGCAGCATCCAGAAAGGAGCGTTGCGAATCGAGGATACGGGCTTGACTAAGATGGAACATGACCTTGGTCGCCTTGTCTTGGACACTGAAGATGATGTTCTTAATCTTGTTAAGGTGAGTGTACGCGCTCGTTGGGTCGTCCTCTTCCAGGTAGCACCGCACTATGCGGATCCATACTTTGGCCTTCTCATCAGGAGTGACGGACTTTTGGGTGGATTCTAGGTTGATGGTAGCTAGTGTCTGTGCAGACCGCCTGTAATCCTCGTTCTCTTCGAAAGCATCTGCCAGTGCTTGCTTGATCTGTGTATCCTGCTCCTCATATTGCCCCACACCCTTAGACTGTAGTAGCGTAACAACCCTTTCACCGATTTCTATCTTGGCATCTGGATCCTTGAGTGTCCGGAAGGCGTCCACAAAGGCAGCAAGAAGTGGTCGGAGCACGACTATGCCGAGTGAGTCGTCGAGGAGAGTTTGTGCATATGCTTTTAGGTCGGCAGCCACATTGGCTGAAGAATCGATGATCTGCTGAAGGAGAGCGGTGTATTGAGAAGGTTTATCGCTAACAGGCGCTGTCTCAATCTCCTGCAAAGCAGTGGTGACAGCTTGCGAAGCCATGGCTAGGGGAGGGGTAAACGTAAACAATTGCAGGGAGTTGGCTCACTTGATCGTGGACGGCCGGTAGATTTCCGAGTTAAATTTGAAGAAAATGAACCGATATGAGAGAAGCTGTTCAATAGTCTCACGGGAGAAGATCAAGATTACGCTCACAGTGAGTGGCAGGCAACAGACGTGGGGCAGCTGGGGCAAGCGCGAGGCTGCGCGACAGCTCCGCATTATCGATAACGGCATTGGCACGCTAATGCGAGCGCGCGCCGGGAACCAACAATGGGCAGCCTGCCTTTCATCATCGCACCTACATATAACCCTCCCTTCGTCCCCCTTGTGCCACGTCTTTATTCTTTCCATTTTCCAACACCATCACGGTCCCCACCTCTGCCCGGAAAGGCAGGCACCCGCTCGCTACCCACTATTGCCACAATCTCTCTCACACGTCGCCATGAACGGCATTAAGGCAGACCCTGATGTCAAGATGGACCCAGACGCATCTACTCCAGGCGGAGGCTTTATGGATGATGAGTTCTATGAGGACACTGGCGAGATGATCATGAGCAAGGATAGTTCAGACAAGGATATCTGGCTCACGCGCATCCCGCCGTGGTTGTATGAAGCAGTTTCAAAGTGGGACGATCTCGCCGATGGAAACGACAATGACCAGATACAAATCGGAGAAGTTTACGGATTTGCGACAACAAGCGGCATTGATAAAACGAAGCCCATGCGTGTCTTCCTCAACGACCGTTGGCGCGCAAAGTCGAACCTGCCCTCTGCCTTCCAGCTCGATCCTGCGCCAGCCACCGACACAATACTCGGAAACACATATGTTTTCACAGAGAAGGATTTACCGGGCTTTCGGGGTCATGGCTACGCTAAAGGGGGCAACCAAGGGAGCTTTGGCGGTGTGCAAGATCCCAAGGCGCGTGTCCAAAAGCGAAGCAAATACAAAAAGGCCATTCCTAAGCAGACCGCCCTTATTGGTCACGCGACGCGACAGTACAATGCCAATCCTCTGGAAACAAAAGAATACAAAGATTTTAGCGCCGCACGCATCAAGCAAGCCATTCAAGGCTCACACATGACCACCATAATTACCAAGGATACCGAAGTCTCAGATGTCAACAATTCCATCATGCTCAACAACCGCTTCAAGAACTTCATCAGGCCTATGACCAAAGGAAAATCGCAACAGAACAAGGCTGCTCGTATGGCCAGGTCGGATCTCATCGATTTCTTGCATACTCTATTCGACGAGTATCAGTACTGGCCTATGAAGGCAATCAAGCAGCGCACCAAGCAGCCAGAGCAATACCTCAAAGAGGTCCTTGGCGACATTGCACTGCTTGTCAAGTCTGGGCCCTTTGCAAGTAACTGGAAGCGCCAAGCCGTTTTTGAAAATCAACGTGACACCAGTAAACAAGCCGAGGCAGCTGCTCCAGAGGGCCCGGGTGATGGAGATTCAGAGGGCGAAGATGAGATGGAGGACGTGGTCTAGAAGACAGGCCCAAATACTGCAAAGCCTCTACATGTGAGGATGAAGATGCTGGCCGAGGATGTGACAACTGCTTTAGCGACACCCGACTTGCACAGAAAAATGCGTTGGTAAAAAACTGGTTTTCAATCCAAGACGAGATGTTTTTCTGCGATTTTCTTCCATTTTCTCTGCTAGAAACCATCGAAGAGGTATTTTTGGACTATTTGTATTATAAAGCATGCACTTCTTGCAGCTCGTAACCAATACATACTATAATGGACTCACATCGCTTGACTTTTTTCCCTGTGTTTGCTATATAGCGTATCAGATCAATTATCT